CGAGTTCGAATGTTGGTGAATATATGATGTTACATACTGTAGATGTGGGGTCGCTAGGTCCCCTGTGGGCGAGTTCATATGGTTGGTGAAGACGTTGCCTTATTCGCCACTGGTAATGCCCCGGTAGTAAGACGATTGTAGGTCGATGAAGAAATTAAGGACGTCGCTTTACGTTTGCTACTGGCGATATCGTAGGCATGCGACGGTATGCATGATTGAGAGATCTTATATTTATATATAAAAGGATAAAAAGCTCTTTGCGTTGATCAATCCCTTAGGGATGCGCCATGCATTCGACTTCAATTTCTAACTTCGTTTGAGGTGATTGAATGCATATCTGGCCTTTACAATGACTCGCAGTGGCCTCCCGCTGAACCGAGTCAGTGCTGCTTATCCTCCCAGACAAGTCTGAGACCTGCCTGCTACCAATTTACCGACCCCGGAGGGATGGATGGCTTGGTGGGCCATGAGCGCGAGATCGAACCATTGACCTCGTGTGCGACACAGGGCACCTCTAACCACTGCGCCACATGCGCTCATATTTATATATATATATATATATGTATATATACATATATATACATACACAAATATGCATGTCGATTTTGTCAGCAATTAGAGTAGGTTTACATAATAATGGACGTGACGTGAGTGAGAAATAACTTTTCTCGCCAGTGCATTTGAACTAATATGGCATCGCGTGAATTTATGAAATATCCAGTTTTTGATGATTTTATTTACACTGTTATTCCTAGCTAGAGTTTCATTTGATTTTTTTTGAATTAAGGATAGCGCTTCGAAGCTGTTTTCTGTGCGATGTATCGCGTCTACCGTATTAGTTATTTCGCACTTTCTGGGAAGCAGTTATCCTTGCGAGGACTTAAGATGGAGTTCGTCCAACTTTTCAATCATGCGCGAAATGCGTGCCATCGTTACACCACAGAGGCCACCGCTCTACCACCATTCTCTCTTTGATATAAGCCAGCGCAGCTGTTAAGAAACAAAATGGATTCGGTGTGGTAAGTTAGTGGTAGCATGTGCCCCGGTGTGCGCGAAACACGAGTTCATCTCCTGCCCAAGGTTTATGGTATTGAATTCCAGCATCTTTGGGTATATAGTATCATATAACTATAACATCATAATACTGTAATAAGAACAGTCAAGTAAAAAATCTACTAAATCTAGAGTGATATTCGTTTCCGAAACCTTTGCCTAGTGTTGGGAGGTTGAGTGGGTTTGGATTGAGTGTTGGGAGCATGAAACTACTATGCTTTGATACAAATGTGGACTATCAGAACGTGACGATTCTACCTCAGACTTCAGTTGTCCCCCCAAGATCACTACTTTTGTTAAATATGAACATTTGAATATGACTATTGCTATCTGTTTTCTCTATTGTAGCGGACAACGCTTGCTCAGATGTCACCCGTCGCTGTGAGAAATAACGTCTGAATGTCGTCTATTAATCATTATCGCTTCCATAGCGTGATGAAAATATATGCTAATTCTAGTCGTCATTAACTGCACATCTCTTTTTCGAGTCCCACCAGTAAGTTTTTGGTTTCATGAAGCATGTGGCGCAGTGGTCGCAACACACTGATGATTCGACCTCGCGCGCGAAGCTCATCAAGCTTTTCATTCCTCTGTAAACGCCAATTTAATACTTGTCTGGAAGAGTAGCAGCACTGACTTGGTAGATCGGTAGGCCCACCGCGAGTCATTGTCAAAATTATCAAATATGCATCAAATCACCTCTAATGATGTTTAATGAAGTCGAATGAATGGTGCACCGCTCATGGATTATTCAATGCTAAGAACGCTATCCTTTATCCTCTAATCCTTTCTCTCCTTTTTGCTATCATCAAAGCGACCAAACTTTACCCTCAAAATATGAAAGATAAAGTTACGGTCATAGGTGTTGCTTGATGGCAAGTCGAAATGTGACGATGTTTACAATGTTGCTTATCTCTTCAAGCATTGAGACGTTTTCTTGATCGAAACAACAGCTCATCAGCCACACCTCTCACGATGTAACACACTTGGCCAGAAAAGATACGCATTGCGGCACCCTTCACCGATAGTTTTTCTGGATTTTTAATCCTTTTAAACGTGTTATTCATACTTTTGCACTACTGAGCGAAGTATGATCGCTTCCGAATTCGTTGTGCAGTTTTTCTCCGCGCCCAAATCAAGACGAGTAGATTTTCTAGCGCAGTTCTACTCTTCATAAAATTTGTATAACTTGAAGTCCAGAGGAATATGTAATTTACAATTTGTGGGATAAACTTACATATTAATGTGATATTGCCCATTCACTAAAGCTTACATACCATTCATTCTATGATACACCTCGTCCAAGTGTGAGTTTGGAACTGCGACAACAAACAAGAACCCGTGTGATAGATCAGAAGTGCATTACTATACAAATTCGACCCTTAAATCCGGTTCATTGGCAGGGAATCGAACCCGGGTCGTCCGCGTTGTAGGCGAGCAGTCTGCCACTAAACCACTGTCCGTTGGGAAAGGAATTATTTTCATAACTCTCCATGTGTTTATCATCGAACATTTCAACATTTGCTGGCACCCGGAACATTATATTATGTTAACATTCACAATCGGCTCGGATCTAACGGCTCTGAAGAAGACAGAGCGCGTTGAAACGCGAGCCGAATAAATAGGTATTTTAATGTGATAACACATCCTATTCCTAGCCTATCATGATCTCTGTTATGGCACTTACACAGTGCTAGACACGTGTTGCGGCATTACAGCGTCATCAGTAGCACGGTGCCGTTCGTTTCAGCCAATCCCTTGGGGGGAGATAAAACCTCAAGTTATAAAGGAATTGACGCTGATCAGGCGAAGGACGTTGGTTACTGCAATGTCGGGGATTTTTATCACCTGACTTGCGGTGAATTGTTATTCGGTGCCGATTCCTTTACATGTAGGGTTTATCCCCTCCAAGAGATTACCTGAACCGAAAGGCACTGTGCTACTGATAAACTTGTAAAGGTGAAACTCGTGTAAAGCACTGTATAAGTGCCATACCAGACCTCATTAAAGGCTCAACATGTGTTATCAGACTATTTATTGTCTTGAGCGACGCCTATAAGAACATATGTGATAATCATTTTTGAGTCATGCATGTGGTCTTCTATAGGGGAACTTATAGAGCCTGATGATACACGTGTTTCGGCCTTGACAGTCTCGTCACTCGGGCTATACTCTTCGTCTTCATTTTGCCCAATCCTATCGGGGGAACCCAACCCCTCACATAAAGTTGGCGATGACGAACTTTTTACACGTTCCATTAAGTGAAAATATCACTCAATAGACAGTATTTTATTATACTCGATTGCACTTGACTGGTATTGTTAAACATATGACACCTTTCATTCTATGAGAGCAGTCGATCATAAAGGTAAGTTATTTGTATTCGTGCTTTCTCTAGATCATTGCGAATTAAGAAGAGGATAAAGCCCTCGGCGTTGATCAATCCCTGAGGGATGCGCCATGCATTCGCCTTCGATCTTTAATTTCGTTTGAGGTGATTAAATGCATATGTGGCCTTTACAATGACTCGCGGTGGCCTGCCGCTGAACCCGAGTCAGCGCTGCTTATCCTCCCAGACAAGTCTGAGACCTATCTGGTACCAATTTACCGACCCCGGAGGGATGGATGGCTTGGTGAGCCATGAGCGCGAGATCGAACCACTGACTTCGTGTGCGACGCTGAACTCCTCTAACCGCTGCGTCACATGCGCTCTTCATTGAGGAATATGTGATTGATTGGTAAGGCCGAAGTTCAATGAAAGTCGGCTTTTCAATTATTTCAATTTTGTATTTCCCTATATCAGGAACTCCTTCTTACCTTAGTATCTGTGATATGAAAGCCCGACGACGTCCGCGAAGCTTATATTTTTCGCGACACTGTAGCCGTCGTAGTCGTGCAATTTCACAAAGCCCACGGTATCGATCGAATAACGCCCGTCGGGTTATTGATTTGATTGATTGGTTTTTTTCGCTTGCTGTCGCCCATCCTCTTCGTTTGTTCTGTGCTCATCGTTTGTGATCGGTTTTTACAATCGATTTGACCTCTATGAAAATAAATAGTTGTCAGGATTTGAATGAGCATATGAGGACGTCTCAATGATGCTTACCTCCCCCTCCCCTCTCTCCCTTTTCCGTCATTGTCTGCCCACTTCCTCAACATTTCCTGTTTTTATTGAGGACCATTTCCTAATCAAATTATGAGGATTACTTCCTCCGCACAGATCCTGCTGAGTTATCAGTGTCTTTCGTACGCACTAGCCTTTTCCCCATGTCGCATCCAACCCTTATTTGAATTTATTTTTCTCCTGGCAATCTGACACTGTGTGGCTCACAATTTGTCGTTCGAAGGCTTATAACTGTATTGGCTTTTGTAACATAACATGTATCTGCTAGTGCCCTTTACTTCTTCATTAACCCTCCAAAGACGATGAGAGTCATTTTAACCCTCAGCACTTCAGAGGCCTTTTCTCGTCAGCCAAGATTTCTTTACTAGAATCTGGCCAATCATTTGAAAACTTAAATCCAAGCGATTCCAATAATATGCTTGGTTTTCTGATGCACCTACGAGAATTGAGTGGTGAGCAAAAACTCGACCTCAGGCGGGGGTTGAACCCGCGTTTCATCCTTACCGGGGGCGCGTGCTACCATTACACCGCTGGGGTATTGCTTCATGACCACTCATTCTTCATTGTCTCTGGTATAGCTGTCAGCCACCAAGTTATAGCAGGTTTGGTCGGATAGCAATATTCTCTTGAATGTATTACAAGCATCTAAACACTGCGAAAATGCAGTAAAAACATTAGAAATCAGAATATTACATATTACAATGGCTGCCAGCTTAACTGGGTTTCATAGAGAGACATTGCTAACTCGACCAGGCCTGTTATAGGTTCTTGGCTGATAGCAATGATAGAGAGATATTGAAGAATAAGTGCTCAGTAAGCGGTGGCCTCTGTGGTGTCGTGGTAGCACGCGTCCACGTATGAATGAAACTCGGGTTCAACTCCCGCCTGAGGCTAATTTTCGCTCGCCACTCAGTACTTAGGTGTATCAGGAACATGATAACGTTGCGAAAAATGCAGTAAATGTACTAGCAATTACAATATTATGTTGGTTTTTGTAAAGACCTTCTTCATGGGTTGTTACAACAAAAATAAAATTATGTTTCACACTCGGGCAGCTTCTTGCACAGCTAGAATCGGCTATGGATGGGTTTTTATTAGACTATTGTGATACTCATTCGATAGCGCAAATCTCGGCGACTCCAAAGCTGTATCTAATTTTTGAGAAGCTCTCCATAGTGCTCTATAGCAGCGGAAAGAAAATCACCTCTCACACTCGGGGTTTTCTTCACGCGTGAGAGCTATATATAAACAAAAAGTATAAGAGCGTGTAGGGAAAATCGTGTAGTATCTGGATGATTTGAAAATCAGAGATTTCCCGCAGTCATGAGAAAATTTCTATCGAAGAACGAAAATCGTGCACCGCTTATATGACTCGATCGATCAACTCTCGTCTTCAAAGTGTTAAAACCATTTTTCATGGGTGGGGAACTGTATAGTAGTTCAACATGAAGTTCAGGAGTCTCCCTCTCCGTTCAGAATTCATAATTTTGTGTTTCATATATCATGCTGTTTTTGAAAAGCTTGAGTTTGATTGTCATACTACATGTTCCTTTGTTGATTTTCCAGGTGTGAAACGGCAGAATGCAGAACTGGAAGGAGTACGTAGCAAAAGATAGAACGCTGATTTGGACATCCGAGGTAGATTCCATTCGGTCTTATTTACGAAGCTTACATGTATGGTGTCTGGAGACTGTATTGGTAGCTGCTAAGTAGTAGTAAAATTCACTAGTTCACTACGCAACAATGCTTGGGTACTAAGCGTTTTCAAAAATATTCTGAAGCCCTGTGGAGCTATAGAATTATTGCATTATCGAGGGGCTTTGGGCGAGTGGCTAATGATGCTCGACACGAAACTGATCCCATAGTCGCCAGACACTCCGACGATCAGTAATGAGCGCCCTACGGGACGACCTTGGCCTGGCGATCCCTGAGATTGTAAGGCGAAGTGCTCGACTAATTTTCTTGACATCCATGAAGAAAATGAAGCTCTCAAGCAGGCGAGGTGATGAATCGAATGCTAGAAGTATTGGGGCTTGCAAAATAAAGAAAGCTGTAGTACTGATCAGATGAAGTGATGGGATTGTTGGCTTTTTGGTTGCCATTTTTTCCGTGCTTAACAGATAATTCATATTGATGAACTTGAGGAATGGATACGATTTTTCTAAAGCATTGAATCGTGCATTATTAGACCTACAAGAGTCGTTATATCAACAATTTTTTTTTGAATTTTCCTCATTTCAGTTACTTACAGGATACACGCAATGCTTTCTTGTCTACACTCATTCCTACTGGTGTCGCTCTGGCTGGATACTCTGCTTTCGCTAACGATCGTCAATTTGTCGATTGGTGGACTGTTGTATGTTTGTTAATTCATTGGTTTTGCTGTTACATCAGATGATTCCCGTCTATTTTTGCACATTCGCGACGATAACCGATACCTCTTGGCACGCTCGTGAGACGGCGCTTATTCCTTACCCGCTTCACAATGACCCATGTGGTTACCACAGCAGCCACAGTTCCGCGAAATTTCAAAGCTAAACCCAATTTAACCTAGATACTTCGGGTTTTCTGTGATTCGAAAGAATCACCGCTCTTGTCTGATTTCTTTGTGCTTCGTATTCTTTTACAAACCCTTCCATATTTTGGTCCGCATACAGCTTTAATGTGTGGGGAAAAATATTCGTTTACTACGCAGTCACACTGCTGTCAGCACTCTATGGAAGTATACGTCAGGCAAGTAGTCTTATAGTGTTTACCTTTTTATTTCGATATCCTGTCGTTTAATAAGTATGAAGAATCAACTACCGAATGTAAAATGAAAAGCAACGGACAACTTGTCAAAAATGGCATGAACGGAGGTTGCATTGCTAGCTAATAGAAGTGGAGGCACCTATGTCCTTCTTTACTGGCCACTCTCTCTAGACCGCTCAGTCTTCAACTGCATTAGTCGTACCGAAAATAGTAAGTTTGGTGAGAGGTTGTCAAGAAGACATCTCATCCTACACGAGCTGCGGTTTGAAATCCGCATCGTATAGGTTATCAGTTGATTGGAAGAAGTTTCGAAAGGAAGCCTCTGTGCTCCAAAATAGGTCAACGAGATTTACGTGACGATCATACCGGCCACTATATCTCATTAGAAATGATTTTTTGAGAGGTTACTTCGCTGTGAATATGTTGAATAATCTCATGTAAAAAAAATTCTCATTTACTAGAGTAACTACTTCCCTTTTTTATTTTTTCAGTTTAGTTTTTTAGCCCTCTTCAGTTTTAAAGATAATTCGTCGCAAAAGTACAAGTAATAATGAGATGTAACACAATGTCATAAAAGATACTATTTGCACACAGAATTTTGCTCTTCTATTCAAAAATCGCGTTTTGAAAAGTGGATATGCTTTCACAGACAATCGTATGTCGGTTACTACTGTGTAATTCTTGACCTCTTCAGTTTGTAAAGACGCCTAAGTGGGCCCCAAAAGATCTGTGTTTCTACTCTGCTATGGACGTTCTCACACTTTCTCCTCTAGGATACGCCTCCTACCTTGTATACAAATATGGCGGAGGTGAGTTTACTTACATTTTAGTACTCACGAATGAACCGAGGTCGACAACATGAAACATTGGAAGGTTTCGAGTACACCGACACGCGTGTCGCTCTTGGTCTGTATGGAACTAGCCTCGCCTTGTATCTTACCACTATCCCAGTTGTCAAGAATAAGGACCTCACTTCTGTGAGTTTATTGTTTTTCGTATTGTTTCTTTCTTGCCACGATATAGCTATGATTTTCCATGCGCTGCATGGCGGTTATTTCTTATTGGCGTGCTCAACAATGGAAATCTGGTAGTTATTAGAAAAATCTGAGTTTTATGGAGACATTTCTGCAACTGATTGATGGAACATCATTCAAAGGCTTCTGTTAGATGGTCCTAGTAAAAAAGAAAAACGCCGAAGTGTCAAAAATTCTTTTGTTCTAACGAGATAATACATCACTGCGAAAAGACACGTATAAGTGTTATAGAACGCTTTTTTACCATCTTCTGTGTATTTTTTATAGCGATAGTTCGAGAAATGACGATTTATATTTTCGATTTATGAAGACTTTCTTCATATTACGTCTTAACTACGGAAAGAAGTTTGCGTTTTTTTTTCGGAGTAGTTAGCCCGTTAGTTCAACTTTGAAGCTGATTTATTCATACTTATGTCGTGAATTTCAGTGTCAGAAGAACTTTTTCTGTACGAAAAGGCATAGTTTTATCATACAGGTTTCCATAAACGTTTTACAGTAAGAAGAGTTTCCATATATCAAAGACCTCCATATCCGGTAGGAAAGCTTCGTAAATGGGAGGTCAGCCCATACTTATGTGTCTTTGCACATTTTTCCAGCCATATGGTTGAATTGAAATCACGTTTTTTACAGGCCGTAGCAAGCATCGATAAAGTTTGCATTCACCAGTTTGAGGAGTACTTTCTTTTGGAAAAGTGCACATTTCTCTAAGATATTTTTTAGACATCTCAGTGTTTTGTAGAATGTTCTACTCAAAATGGTTATTTGGCAGTCGACAATTTGTGCCGTCAACAATGGTCAAGAGCAATTTACTTTTACTCGTAATAGCGGGAGCGCTGTGGGCGAATGGTTGTGATGCTCGTCGCGGTGTGGTGGGACGCCACTGCCAGGCTATTGTTGAGGTTGCAAGGAGACGTGCTCAACCAGAATTTTATGACTTTCAGGAAAAAGCGATTGAATGCTAGAAGGCTCCTGCTAAATGAAAGAAAAAACCATTCTAAAGATGAATAATAAAATGCCTAAAAAGTACCGTAAATCAGCGCCCGACAAAAATTTACCATTGCTGCTTAGAATTTGCAATTGTGACAATCGACCGTTCGTGTTCCCTGCTGTTTCCCACTCACTTTGTCCGTTGCTTATATTTGTCTCTTTCTTCGAATAATTGCCAAACATCGAACACATACAGTTCGTAGAAGGCGATAATTTCCCTGCTCCTGGTGCATCTCATCATAAAGTATGGTAGGGTCAAGAATGACGCACCCTTCTTTGATCACTCACCGACTATCTCTTCATCAGTATTCTCTTGATGAGCAGACACGAGGTAGTTTATAGTAACGTTTATTGAGTTCGTCGCAGTACAATGTCGGTTGGAGTCTTGGAGGTTCCCCTTCTTCGAAGCCTTGCAGAGTCAAACCGATTTGCAGTTTTCTTAGTCGACCACTCGCGAAAGCAGATTTTGAAGACAGTTATTGCCGAGTGGTGGAACAGTGAGTGAGCAGCGCTAAATACGCCTCTGGGACAATGCCTCAATCTAATTTCACTTACTTCTGACGTTTAGGACCTTTTACTCGGAGTGTTTATGTTGGCATTGTTCTTCTTACGATTTATACGATTAACAACCTTATAATAATGGGCAGAAAGTCGACCTTTTGGTGTTGGATTCGTAACAATTCACGATAACATAAGCAATATACAATAATATACACTACACTTTTATTTTCCCAGAACATTACTGGCTAGCTTATCCTATATCAGATGTGGGATTGCTAGGTTTTGTGCGCTCCATACAAGAGCCAGTCCAACATACTGCACACCTGTTATCATTTCGTTGTCATGCAAGAGACAGTATGTGCGTCTAAATTACTGGTAGACTTTGGTTCGTTGAAACAAACAAAAAATCGTCATGAAGTCATTGAAGTAGGATGAACTAGAGCACTCGAAAGTGGTGTGTATGCCCAGTGACAGATGTCACCGGGATTAAATAAGTCAATAGTAAGGATTAGATGGATATAAAAACTCTAGACTCATAAAAGAGTAGAACAGAATCTCTTCTATGATTCTATAAAAATTCTAGCTTTTGAAATACTCTGGTTATTGGAAAGTTAATGAGA